TTTATAGGTTGATCAAATGACTCCACAACTAGTCAATGCTGGAAAGATTCGCTTACACAATCAAACTGATTCTGCTGAGCAGCACTTTGAGAACCTCCATAGGTCTATCACATACTTATTTATACTTAAGACACTTCTAAATATTATGGGTGCCTGTTTACCGCTGGTTCATTTAGACAATACGCTGATGCATTGCATCGTTTACGGTCGCATGTGGACGATGCTATTGACACTCATGAATTCGTTCGTGCTAGTGAAAACGTAAGTAACTATGATTGCTGACAATTTCTAGAGATAGACAGATCAACTTGGTTATACATCATCAAATTATGGTAAGAAATGTTGTTATCTACAGAGTTGATGGTTATTTACACAACATTAATAGAATTTAAATCAAGATTACTACACAAATGTTATTTATTTTCAGTATCTGGAGTTACCCTTGTAATTGAAATTTTATGAATTGAAAAATTGATTGCATGATTCCTTATTTCAGCAAGGAACTATTTATTTCAAATTTAATCGAAAATTAGTGCTAAATGTTTAAACAATACCCTCCAAGGGCGAATCCTTTCTACATTGATCCTTTAGGCAATGCGTCGCTATACTAATCGTTGTGAAGATGCTATTGCTGACAACTACCCACAGGGTATGGTCGACAATACTTCTCAGGTAGTTAGCCCTATTTGACTTCCTAAGTAATTTATACAGTAAGCTAATTTTCTATTTTATTTGCGGCTCTTAAGATTGCTCGTCTTGGCAACCGTGTTCTAATGGCAGCTCAAAATGAAGCTGAAAACTCGGAGGAACCAGCGTATTGCGATCGGGTAAACAGTGCGGCGAACCAAGTGCGCTCTGGTGAGTTTCATCCCCTCACTCTCTCCGGCCCAAATTACTTCCTCCAACCCCCTGTGTCCCAACGAAACTCCAACTGAAAATTGTTCCGTTCGACGACACTGTGACAAATGCCCTCTGCATATTCCCCGCGTCAGGAACGACGATATGATTCTCTCGATAATGAATATGTATTTCGCCCAATAATGCTACCACATGCAATTTCAATCGAGAATTTTTCAACTGATCCACGGGTTTACATTCGTAAGTTTTTGTCGCTCTGAAATAGTTTCTGTGGAAAAAGTTGAGAAGTGGAAATGGCGAAAAATGCTTTGAAGAGTTTCTTTCTTGCAGTCTACTTCCAGCAGCATGGAATGTGAAAACCTATACAAAAAAATCAATCTCAGAGCTTTCAAAGAACCTCGGAATTTTCATGTCATGAACTCAACTATCCTTCTTTTCCACAGGAGAAAAACTTCCTTAAATAGCAGTGGCTTTTAAAAGCATTGGAATGTTAAAAATTCCATGAATGCACGTTTTCTTGAGCACTATGCGTGAATCTTATTGAGAAAATTCTTGTCAAGCCAATATTTACTGTAAGTACAAAAAACTCTCACGCGGCACTCACTCTTTCGCGAACACATTGAGCTGATGAAAAGGTGAAAGCGCATGACTACATTTAAAATTGTAAGAGAAAGTTTCAACATAAGAAACTACCATATGCAATTGCCAAAAATCTGCAAGTCGAGTACATTCAGGCAATATGCAAACCATAACGAAATAATTTAATTTGTGACTTTCTCTAGCTGTCGAATATATCCGTGAAAATCCCGAGGGGCAGCTGAATTAAAGACCAATTATACCCTGATTCTGCCATCTACTCGTGGATTGCTTTTATCAGACCTTCCACAATTAAGATGTAGCGCACAAAATTTTTGAAATGAAAATAGATAAAATAGGCCACATTTGGTAAAATTCCAACCCCACTGTGTCTGTTTTTGACAGCTGTTTATTCGACGTGGGTGGTTTCATGACAGCTGCGAAATACGTCATTACTCCTTGAGCCCCCAGTGAGCAGATTTTTCCCAAGGATCAGTTTGTCTCGATGGTCCGTCCGGGTTTGCCCCATACCTCATTAATTTCTGGAATTAGTAAGTTTCACCATTTGTTGCTACTTAATGGCTACTTGCTACTACTTGCTAAGAAGTGGCAATGATATGGCTGGTTGTAGTCATATTGGCGACATAACTTTGATAAGAGTTACTATCACGGCAGCCTATTAGGTACTGAATAGATATATTATTTAACTCAATTATTTCTAACTTGTCTTGTAGGGCACTAAAGCCAAGACTCTATCACTATTTCTTGCTCCCCTTTCTACAGTGAAATCCAACCATTTGTTTTCAGCTATTCCTCCAATGGTTACACAAGCGAAACAAGTAGCAATGAGTCCTCGCGATACTGGTGCTGCTAATGCTTGGCGTAGCGCTAACGATCATCTTTTGGATTCTGTTAAAGCTGTTGGTGATGCCATAGCCGGAATTCAAAATGGCCGACAATCAGCGTATCAGGATAGTCTGAGCAGAGCTTCACCATACCAACCACCACAGGCAAATATCCCATTGTTTTGTACGTAATTGGAAAGTTCACCTTTGAATTTTCAGCAGACATCTCAAGTACTACGTACAGTGCCTCCACAAGCTCCTACACCACCTGTGATTCACAATAAAATGATTATCCGTGAGGAAATCCCAGCACCACCAAGACCACCACCACCAGTTGAGATCAGTCCACCTCCACGACCACCACCACCGCCAGAATATGACGATGAAGAAGAGACGAGAGCGTTTTGGGAGAGGTGCGA